CCACCCTTGGTGATCGTACACCAATGAAGGAGTTTTTCTTTTGCTTTTCAAGGAGAGGAGCGAACTGGGGGTGGGAATGGGATGGGTGGGGAGAAAAGTGCAACAGTAAATGAATAGAACTCCAAAATCTCTGTAGATGTTCATTGAAATAAATTTTTAAAAAAATCTTTTCATTGTTACTCAATCCCTCCCCCCAGGTCCACTCCACTATGTTAACTTTGTTCTGGACTCCTGTCATAACAATAATATCTAGCCATGTCAGTCTTGTTTTATAACAGTGGTATTATGCCATATTTTGTTTTTTGTGACTGAGATATTTCACTCAGCATAATGTCCTTCTGTCTATAAAACCTAGTTGAAGCCATAATTCAATGTTTACTAGTATATTCCAAGTTATGTGACTCTCATTACTGTTTCCAGAACGTTTTGTTTACCCCAAAAAGAGATCCTATATCCGTTCGTCATTCTCCATGTCCCCAGCCACTAGCAACACTCATCTCCTTTCTGCCTCGATAAATTTAACTCTTCTGGACACTTCATGTAACTGGAATCCTACAGTCCATGGCCTTTAGTGACAAGCTCTTTCCCATTCAACATAATGTTCTCAAGGGTCATCCATGTAGCAGCTTCATTTTATTTTATGGTTGAATTGTATGTCATTGCCACTTTTCCTTTATTCTTTCATCAGTCGATAGACATTGACATTGTTTCTAGGTTTTTGTAAAAAATTTTTTAATTTTACTTGTGATTTTAACAAAAGTTTACAGAAAAGTTAGGTTTTCATTCATTCGTCGTTGTACATTTTACTCCCTCTCCCAGTTCACTTTTCTTTTTTTTTCTTTTTTTTTTTTTAGTTTTTATTCATTGTTGCACAATTACCTTACCTCCTCCCCCAAGTCTTCTTTGCAATCTGCCTCTTTTTCTGGGCTAGTGTCATCTGTATAGTGCCTAAGCATATATTCCTTTTAAACAGTTCTTTGCTTCATCTGTTCCAGTGCAATGGTCATTATCTATCCCCCCTTATCCTGTTCTGCACCCAGCTGCCCATGTCTGACCTGCTTTGTAACAGTGGTGCTATGCAGTATTTTTAACATTTTGCTGTTTGAATAATGTTGTTGTGAACATTCATGTACACACTTTTGTATGGACATAACCTTTTAAGGTCTTCTTGCATCTATAAGTAGGTGTGGAATTATTGTAGTGTGTTCTTTGAAACTCTTTCGCTTCCCAGGAAGCCTTCAAAATGTTTTGCAACATGGCTGCACCATTTTACAATTCCATCTGCAATGTATGAAGGTGCCCCTCTCTCCACCCACTTGTCAGCACTAATATTATCAGGGGGTTTGTTACCACCAGCCTAGCGGGCAGAGAGCTCTGGTGGTGTAGTCACTAGGGACTTGTGCCGCCAGTCTAAAGGCAGTTCCTCTCTGAGAGGTTATATACACCAGCTGGTCCATGAGAAGAAGGCAGGTAATCTCATTCTATGTGATTTTGTCATTATGGACTTTCGAGTCAGAATCAACCCATAGCTGACCCTCCAGTGGGCTTTCAGGGGCAGTAAATTCCACAGGAGGAGATTGCCCATCTTTCTGACGTAAAGCAGATTGTGGATTCGAACTGTGTGCCCTGGGGTTGGCAGTGCAACTCCTTGCCACTAACTCACTCAGGTTCCCTTGCATGTGATTTGCAGGTTTTCTACCTGCTGGATGGAATACCAGCAGTGAGCGAGCTCCACCTCTACAGCAGTGAGATAAAGCGCAGGCATGGGAAAAGCCCTGGTGGTGTAGCTGGCTAAGTGTTGGATACCCCACTGAAAGATCAGCAGTTCCAACCCACCATTTGTTCCCCTGGAGTATAATGAAGCTGCCTCCTCCAAGTGTCCCAGTCTTAAGGACGAATACTGCATAGTGCCACTGCTGTAAAACAGAACTGACATCGGGGTTGGTGGGAGACTGAGAAAGAGGGGATAAATTATATATACCACATTGAAACAGATGAGGGAGAGAACTGTTTAAAAGGGATACATGATTAGGCGGCATAGTGGAGTGGACTTGGGGGGAGGGACTGTATAACAATGAAAGAATTTTTCTTTTCAAAGAGAAGAGTAAACTAGGGGGTAGGGGTGGGCAGGCAGAAAAGTGCAACAATGAATGAATGGAAATCCAAAGTCTCTGTAAACGTTCATTAAAATTAATAATAATAATTTCAAAAAGAGTTACAGTCTTGGAAACCTGAAGGGACAGTTCCACTGTGTCCTATAGGAATGATAGGAGTTGGAATCAACTTGATGGAGTGGTAGAGTCGGGCTGACGTGGTGTTTCGTTGTGGTTTCCTTTGCCTTTCCCTAAAGACTAATGGTGTTGAGCATCGTGTCCCCTTCTTTCGTTCGTTTTCACGTCTCTCCCCTTAAAGAATGATCAGGGTCGGCGACACAACTCCACTGCTTATGTGTATATCTCCCAAAGCGACAGTTACTGTCTTGTTTTTACTATGTCTTCAGTACCTAGTACGTTGTTGTTGTCAACCGTCAAGTCGGAACGGACCCGTAGCTGCCCCTCCAGTGGTCAGAGGTGGTTAATTGCACGGGAGGAGACTTCCCATCCTTCTTCTGTGGAGCAGCTGGTGGATTCGAACCACGTGCCTTTGAGATTGCTCATAGTAAACACTACATAAATGTTCACTGATGACACAAATGGTGGAATGAATGGGGGGGGAGAGAGAGAGAGAAGAAGGAGGAGGAGGAGGAGAAGAAGAAAGAGGAGAAGGAGGAGGGAGGGAGGGAAGGAAGGAAGGAAGGAAGGAAGGACGGACGGACGGACGGACATACAAACAACTCTGGTTCTTTTGAGCTCCTTAGTTCTACCCAAGTCTTTCCCAGAAATTTCCTTTTAAAAATATGAGTTTTGAAACCTTTCAAATGTCCTCAGCTGATAAAAGAATGAAAGTGTCATGCAAACCATGCTTCATCAGTTGATAGACACTGAGGTTGTCTAACTCCGTAAACTCAGAAAAGCCACAATATTAAAAAAAATATATAATCCTGTACATAACCCAGATCTCACTCTGAAGTCATTCCTCTCCCTCCTAAGGAACGTTTTTCTAAAATATAGTCTGAGCAAAGTAATTGCTATGGAATTGTGAAAAGGATTCCTTTTCTCCTGATCTATTTATTTCATTGTTTCTGAAAAAAGTAAGTTTTTCGTGACTTTGTTTAATCAAAGATCTGTGAAAATGTGATGGTAAAAACATGGAGTAGGACTCCTGTCATTTCAACCAGCCAACAAGACTTTAATGAGTCCGAGAACATCACAGGGATTCCATGATCCTAATAACGAGAGATTTTGTTTTCTCGACCTCTCTCTTCTCCAATAGAGGGTGCCCTGTTTTGACCTTTTGTATTCTATCTGAAGTTTGCGTGCCTGGCAAGCTGTGGATAGATGTGAAACAGCATTTATCCTTTTGCGTCGATGTGTGTGTGCTGTCCACAAGGGAAGGGAGAGAAAGCAAACTCGTGAGAAAGTAGACTGAGAGGTTTTAACTTCCTGGGTCAAGGAACGAAAACGAATGAATTTAAAAACTTAAGAAAATTCTGCCGTAAGTCTTTTACCTAATGAAGCCATTGTTCTTTCACATAACTAGTCTTGTTAGGTCCTCTTTCTAATATCACCAGTTTGCTTGTTTTTAAGATGGCCATTTCATTCTGCTTAAAGTTAACTCTCTATTTAAAAAAAAAAAGGGAGGGGGAGTTCTGGTGGCCTAGTGGCAAGAACCTGCATTGCAATCTCAGAGGCGCACGGTTCAAATCTACCAGATGCTCTGCCAGGGAAGGAGGGACAATCTCCTCCTGTACCAGTCAGATCTGATTTGACGGTACACACACACACACACACACACACACACACACAAATAATAAAAATAAAATAAAAAATATTAATTTTTAAAAATCTGGATGACTAGAAGTTAGGAAGTCTGGCTTATGATTTCTGTAATTGCTGGGTGGCGTGAACCACATTTTTGATTGCTAAACAAACCGAAGATTGCAAGTCCAAGCCCACCCAGCCAGGTCCTGGCCATCTGCATCTGAGAAGCCAGCCCCTAAAAGGCCAGTAGATGACTGTTGTACTGATACACATGGGGTCGCCATGGGGTCCCCTCAAAGACAACTAGTTTCTTCATTTTCACTGTGACTCTGAGGCCGTCTCTGCACCTCAGAGACCCCTTGATGGCCTCTCACTACATTTCTAGTTGTGCTGACCTCCACCTGTACAGAGTGGCACCTTGGTTCCAGAGTGCATCAAGTCTTCTGTGAAGTGGTTCTAAAAGGAGGCGTGTGAGAGTGCATCTAAATTCCAGAATCAATATCCATAATAGTCTACGTGTTTCCTACTGCCAAAGGGGCCCTTTAGAGTAGT